AAGCCTGGCTACTCCCTGACCTCCAGCTCTGGCATCGGAAACCTGGGCTCTGGTCTCAGCTCTGCCTCTGACAAGCTACGGATGGCGCTGTTGGGCCTCTGAGCCTCAACTTCCTCATCTTGCAACTTCACAGGCTCGTTGGGGAAAAAGAGAAGAACATGTATGGCAATGAGCTGGCCCATACAGGGCACTCCACAAGCATTGGTGCCCTCCTCTGGTCCCCTCCTCCACCCAGGTCCTCACCCCTGCTCTTTACTCTGAAGGGTCCCATGATCCGTTGGAATTCAAGGACTCTCAACCATGGGACGGTTCCTCTAGAGTCCAACCTGCCTTTTCCCTCTGGGTGTGGCGTGGGTCTGAGCCCTTAGCCCATCCTCAGCTCCCTCTGCATCCCACACCACTGACCCCCGAGAAGCGCTCTCCCCACTCTCCCCTGGGTCTGGGGGCCAGTCGAGGATACCCAAGGACAGAGAGAGCGAGCTGTGGGTGCAGCGGGGTATGGCAGCTCACACTTTTTTTGGATTGTTTTTTTCTTTAGGAGGAGGGATGTTATGGGTTTGGGGATGAAACTGCTTAAAAAGCACAGATCTCGACAAAACAAAGCCAGTGCTTCTTCCACAGTCGGTCTCTCAAATTTCTTCCCCAGCCCCCAGAGACAAATCCTGGGGTAGGCCTCCGAGTTCCTCCGAAGAAAGATGTTACGCTGCCAACATTTGGTTTCTTATAACCTCTGGATGGATGAAAGCAAGTCACAGGCATGCTCCATGGAGGCTCCAGAGGGGCCTGTGAGGAACATGAGATCACAGCCCAGCAAGGGTTTCCTTACTTTTTGAGAAAAACAGCCTTCAGGATAGATTACTTTTTCTCGAGGTGGAGACAGCGTGATGGAAGGAAAAAGCCTCAGAGCTAGGAATCTGAAGTTCCAATGGTTTGTGAATGCCCAGATATGCCAGGCACCAAGCCTGCACCTTCCTACACACAATGGGTCCGAGCTCTGCACTTGACTAGGGGGCGTCTTGGGGGCTCAGTTTGCCCTCCCATACAATGGGGCCAGTAATGAGCCTGCCTCACAGGGCTGCTGTGAGAGCCCCGAGAGGCTGAGGAGTTGTGAAGTGCCACGTAGCACACTGTTTATGGGAGGTTTCCCATGGTCTTCCACGAGCTCTATTCATGGAGACCAGCCTGGACCTTTCTTTGAAAATTACCAGATTCAACAAAAAACATCTGGCTCGGGGCAGGGAGCCCCCCCAGGAAGTGGACATCGGCCCTGACGATTAAATTACCACTAACCCTTGGCTAGAACCGAACACAAATTTTCTAAGTGTAAACTGCTCCTTCCATCCATTTCTCCCAATGCTTTGAAGATCAGGCTCTTTCATACCCCCATTTCCTCACTACAGCAAGAAGAGATGCTTCGGAAATGAGACCCCTGAAAACAATTTTAAAAGGAATGTGTGACACAGCGAGTGGTCGAACCGCTTGGAGAAGCGGCGTGACATATTAGGTTTAAAGAGAGGGAAAAATTTAGATTCGAATCCCAGCTGAGTTCTAGGCTGGCTGTGTGATCTTGGCCAAGTTACTTAACATCTCTGAGTCTTTTAAGTAGCTTAGCTATAAAACAGGGATAATGATAACTACATGGAAGGGTATTTTGGAGGCATATGTGGGGGTGGGGTGATACATAAAGGTGACTAGCATAGGAGATGCTTAATAAATATTCACTGAATTGAGATGAATCGAAGCAGTGCACACCATTCTTGCTTCCCTGCCTCCCCCCAACACCTCTGGTGAAAGCTCAGCTTCACTAGCTCTCCCTGCCCCGCCCACCCAGCACAACATTCTTTTCCAGTGGACTCAGTGGCTACAGGAAGATGGAAAGCATTTGGCCAGAACGCCGACCTCATTAACTCCCTCGTCTCTCCATCTGTTATCTATCAGGAATCCCTTGCAAGGAGGCAGGTGACCAATAAAAGCCCTCCCGTTTCCCTTTGTCTCTGGGCCAGTGCGTGACCGTGCAAAGCCGTCCGCAACCGTGGGCCCCCGTCAGGGCTCAGCTCTGGCCTGTGATTCGTAGCTAGAGCAGGGTTTTTTTCTGGGCTCAGGAAAGGAAAGCTAAGTTCACAGCCAACTCGGAGGCAGCAGCCATCCCAGCTGGCCTCCTCTGTAGGTCAAGAGAGAGTCTGAAAACCAGCAGATGACACTGCAAACACGGTGGAGTAAGGAGGTCATTATTCACAGCACCAGGATCTCGGATTTAAATGAGTTCTTTATTCCCCCAGGGCATTAAAAACATTACTTGATTTATAAAAGGGAGAGCTGCCTTGTAGTTTTCCAGGAACTTGAAGCTTGCAGAAAGTAAGTTACATAAAGGGAGTCCATGTAGATAGACAGTAAATGCTCAACAAATGTGAACTGTTATTACATCAAACATTTGCTGAGGACTTTATGTTTCCTGCTGGTAGGACATGGGTTTGACTCCGAGTTTCCTGATGTCCAATGGGAAACAGCAAACATTATCAAGTTCACAATTTCCCAGTGTCTACAAGTGTGTGTACAATACTACCAGGATGAGTGCAACCATTACTGGTACTGATATCAGAGAGACATATTTCCCACACGTCCTCATAGGACAGACATTGCATAACGTGAAGAAAAGGGTGTTCAGGAATAGCCCTGCAGGAAGACTCAGGGGCCATCTTCCTGAAGTTGCTGTAGCCCTTGCTTATCAGTACCCGATGGCAGAGAAGCCGTTGCTACTCTTCTCTCTGAGATGCCAGAGCAGCAGATAAAAATGGACGAAATTGAGATATTTGTAGTGAGGTGGATGGACCTAGAGTCTGTCATACAGAGTGAAGTAAGCCAGAAAGAGAAAAACAAATACCGTATGCTAACACATATATATGGAAT